CCAGCTCACAAGAAGTGACACGGAGACTTATTATTAATTATAAAAGTTTGGCCTATAGCTTAGGCTTGTTCCACTAGCTCTTATAACTTAAATTATCCCATTTATATTAATCTACATTTTACCTCTTGGCTTTTTACCTCTCTTCCATCTTGCACCTACTGCGTCCTCTGGCATCCCTCCTGTGCCTAGATTCATCTCCTCTCCTTCTCTCTCTTTCCGGAAGTCCTGTCTAACCTCTTCCTGCCTAGCTATTGGCCATTCATCTCTTTATTAAACCAATCAGAAGGCGCCTTGGCAAAGACACATCCTCACAGTATACACAAAGATTGTCCTACAACACTAATTCCTACCCACTTCCCTGTGTCCTGCCTGGAAATCAGAGAGCCTGGCTATGGGCTTTTGCTGTGAAACCTCCCCCATCCTCAGCAAGATATAAGAAGAGACCTCCATTTCTACCACATGGCCCTGGTTCCTCTTTCAGAGCTCCCGACAAGCTGTCCCTGAACTCTCTTCAGAGTGTCCCCAACCCTATGTTCTTGTCTCTGTATGTTCATGGCATTAATAACTCTTCTAATAAACTCCATGGCCTCCAAAATCTATCTCAGCATCCCTCTTGAATCCTTCATCTGAGACTTGCCACTCTGGAGAGCATGCTGGAGAGGTGGCTCAGATGGTAATGAGCTTGCTCTGTGAGCATGAGGACCTGATTTGGAACTGCAACACCCATACAAGGAAGCAGACATGGATCGCTGGTCTCACTGGCCAGCCAGGTGGGAGTTGGTGAGTTCCGAGTTCTGTGAGAGATCCTGTATCAAAAACTGTAATGTGGAAAATGATGGATAAAGATACCTCTGGCCTTCACATACAAGTGATTGTGTACTCACACACATATATGTGTGTGCGCACATGTACACACACACACACACACACACACACACACACGTATATGTACACAAGACATAGAAAATAAATTTTTTAAAACTATGGAAATAATTAAGGTGGCTGGCTGATGGACATTTATTATAAACATAGTTTCAATGTGACTAACACACACACACACACACACACACACACAAAACACACACACTGTGCTAGGCTAGCTTCAAATCCCTACCCACCTGTCCCAGCCTCCTAAGTACTGAGATTACAAACACAAGCCCCCACCCCTGACAAGAGTGAACTGCAACCAGATTACAGATGGAGGTGAAGATGGGCATCTTTCTCAATAGGAAGTCTTCTGAGTCTTGATTCAGATGATGTGCGCAATTCCATAAGGTTCAAAGCATATTTGAGAACTAAATGTAAATGTAAGAGAGACAACTCTTTTTTTTTCTTTTTCTTATCTTTTTTGTTTTTGTTTTTGTTTTTCAAGACAGGGTTTCTCTGTGTAGCCCTGGCTGGAACTTGCTCTGTAGACCAGGCTGGACTGCCTAGCCTCTGCCTCCTGAGTGCTTGGATTAAAGATGAGAACCACCTTTAGAAGAAATCAAAGGTAGAAAGGAAGCAACAGAAGATGTTGAAGGTAGAAGAAATAGTCTTTTGAGTACCGTTGGGTTCCGGAATGCCATTTGCCATCTAGTTTAGTGCCCACATGCACCTGTGCTGTGTGTGGTACACTCTCAGTCAGAGAGTGCTGATTTTTTTTTAAACGTAAAAACAACAAGAAAAATGCCACCTGCAGAGCTGAAGTGATGGCTCAGCAGTTAAGAGTACTGGCTGCTTTTCCAGAGGACCTGGTTCGATTCCCAGCAACCACCTGGTGACTCACAACCATCTGTAACTCCAGTTTCAGGGCATCTGGCACTCTCTCCTGGCCTCCAAGGGCACCAGGCATGTACCAGGCATGAACACGGTGACCAGATATACATGCAGGCAAAACACCCATATGTGTAAAATAAAATAAAAATAAAAACGTCAAAGCAGGCAGGCTTGGCAGTGAAGATTTGTTAGCAGCTGCATTGGGGGAAGGGTGTCTGGGGATGCATAAGTATATGATCTCATTAAGGGCATAAATATTCCTCCCATCTCCTTAGCATGTCTTCAGGTGGATCAGTTTTCCTGGGGGGTGATCTCTTGGTCAGGTAATTGATAGGCCCAGTTGGATTAACTCTTTCTTTCTTACTTTCTTACTTTCTTTCTTTCTTTCTTTCTTTCTTTCTTTCTTTCTTTCTTTTCTTTTTGTTTTGTTTTGTTTTGTTTTGTTTTTCAAGACAGGGTTTCTCTGTGTAGCTTTGCACCTTTCCTGGAACTCACTTTGGAGACCAGGCTGGCCTTGAACTCACAGAGATCCGCCTGCCTCTGCCTCCCAAGTGCTGGGATTAAAGGCGTGTGCCACCACTGTCCAGCTGGATTAACTCTTAAGCAGGGGACAATAGTGTGTAGTGTTCTGATCTTTGGGGGCAGATCAGAATGCCTTATCGCCACGCAGGGCCAGAGGTAGAGCTTAGGTTCTGTTCCTTTGACCTGGAGGAAATAGCTTTCCCTTACTGGGCCTTAACACTGGCCCTGACACCTTGTCATATGGTATCTAAATCTTAAGAAGGAACAACTGTGGGGTTCTCCTTTCTAGGGTTACCAGGGAAGCAGGAAGTGGGATCCAGAGCTGATTATGAAGGAGTGGTCCATTCTCAACGCTAATACGTGTGTAGCTGCCTAACAGTGAGGTGGCTTTTTGAGGTATATTGTTTCAATATAAGAATGAGAAAGGACTGCTCATATTGTAAGGTCAAGGTCGCAAACATCCCAGCTCTAAGTGAGTGTAGATGAATTTCTAAACGGTCTTGTTAAATAAAAAACACAGAGCCAAATATAGGGGTGAATGCCTTAGAAATCAGGGAAATAGTGATAGCCACCAACCTTACCTCTCCAGCTCTGCAGCTACCAAAAGCAAGCTACTTCCTGTCTTACCCATGCCTTTATTGCCTTGCTTTTCTGCCCTCTCATTGGCTCTTAGCCCAGCTACCTCACTTCCTCGTCACTGCCTGTCTGTGCAGACCTTCAGGACTCTATGGTTGGTACTGGGATTAAAGGCTCATGTCACCATGCTTGGCTGTTCCCTAGTGTGTCCTTGAACACACAGAGACCCTGCCTGCCAAGTGATCGGTATTAAGGGCGTGTGCTACCACTGCCTGACTTTTGTGATTATGGCTTGCTATGTCCTCTGATCTCCAGGCAAACTTTATTTATTAACATACAAATAAAATATCACCACATTTTAGCACAAATAAAATATCACCACAAGTGAGCAGAGCTCATCTGTTGTTTTGAAGATCTTTGTTTGAGATGTCTATAGGAAAGTATTTATAATCTCTGTAGGCAACCTTAATTTTTATTGTGTTGAACTCTCTTGACTCTCAGATAGCAGGAAATACAAACTCTACCCCCAGAGTGGGGGCTTCTTTCCTTCGATATGCCTCCTTAATTTCTGCTTCTCCTTCTTCCAAATGACAGGAACTAGAAGCCAAGGTCTATACCTACATCCCATCTCTGGTGTACTAACCAGGGCTCAGAGGAGGATGGTGATGAAGAGACAAGGGGGCGGGGCGATGGCTCAATTGGAAAAGTACTGCTGTGCAAGCCTAGGACCTGAGTTCGATCCTCAGCACCTACATTAAAAAGTGTCAGGTGTGGTGGTGCACAGCATAGGGGAGGTGGAGACAGGTGGGTCCCTGGGGCTTGCTGGCCAGTCAGCCAATCTTAATTGATGAGCCTCTAATCTCAGCAAGAGACCCTGTCTCAGAAAACAATAGGTCTTGAGAATGACCCCTAAAGTTGATCTCTGACCTACACAGGCACTGGCCAAGTGTCCTTCAATAGAACATTTTTTTATGGTGATCCAATAGCGGTCTTAAGTTCTGAAGGGGTAAAGAAGACATTTTTGTCATGAGACATGTAGGACATTGTGAAGAACAAATAAAGCCCATTCAAGCTTTATCAATGTGCAGTGTGGTAACCTATTCCTGTAATCCCAGCACTCGGGAGCCTAAGGCAGGAGGATCTCAAGTTTGAGGCCAGTCTAGACTACAAAATGATTTCCTGTGTTAAAAAAACAAAACAAACCAGGGGGCCAGAGAAATGGCTTAGTGTTTAAAAGGACTTGAGGCTCTTGCAGAGGACCTAGGTTGGATTCCCAGCACCCATAGCTGGCTCACAACCACCTTTAACTCCAGCTTCAGAAGATCTGATACCCTCTTCTGGCCTCTATGGGCACACATGGATAGATAGATGGATAGATGGATAGATGGATAGATGGATAGATGGATAGATAGATAGGTAGATAGATAGATAGATAGATAGATAGATAGATAGATAGATAGATAGATAATAGATAGATAGATAATAGATGGATGGATGGATGGATGGATGGATGGATGGATGGATGGATGGATGGATCTTTAAAAACAAAGCGACCTTTGTTGAACAATAAGGATATAGACACCTGAGAATGAGGTTTCCTTCCTGTGTCAGTGGTAAGTTTTGAGCAGCATCTTCCATTTGCTCTTGCAGTGCTCTTAACTCCAGAGCTTTACAAGGATGGAAGCCATTTTGAAGGAGCCTCTTCCTCATCCTCTCCATCAATGAGCTACTGATGTCTTATGAATACGTTTTACAAATCTCTTTGTACCCCCACTTGATCCCCTGGGTAGCAAGCATCAGGCTTGCTCATGCTCTGTTTTGCTTGGGCATTGGCTTTTTAATCACAAAGGACATCCGAAGGTTTATTAGTCCTGCTCTCAAGTCCATTTGCTGCGTATTGACTTTGCAGTGTAATAAGCAAAACAGCATTTGTCCCCCATCCCCTCTTAGCTGTTCATGCAACGTATCTCACCAAGTTCATCTTTCCTAGAGCACACTGTCCCACCATTTTTTTTTTATTGTCGGGATTCTTTCCACTTATTTTTAAACAAAGAATCCATTCTACAAGGAAGGCAGAATGCTGTCTGAGCTGCCATTCTTATTTATTTTAAAGGAAACAATGGCTTTTTGAGGCAATAACTCACCTACCCAGAGGTCATTTTTCCAATCGTCTCAGCCACAGCGAACACGGTTGAAGAAAAAGGCCTCTGAGCAGCTCAAGTCAACACCACGGAGCTCATTCACAAGCCTCGTGTAGTTCAACCCCATCTTTTTAACTGTCACTCGACAAACATCTCCCGTTTTGCACACAATCCTTGTGAATCTGACAAGCTGCTGTCTTGGAGAAGATTAGAAAGAACTTTTTGAAGGGGATCACGAGGCACCTAGGAATGGATGGCAACAAAGGAGACACGTTCTTAGTATATATACAAATTTTAAAAATTATCGCAACTGCAGTCATTTGTGTTGGACCCCCACTCCCTCAGTTATCCTGGAAATCCTGTTCCCACCACAGCATTGAGCTGTTAGCATTATTTCATGTTCACTGTTCTCTGTCTGTGAAGAGGAAGTACTGCTGATTCAGAAGGCGCCTGGAACACAGAGGAGAGACGGAGAAACAGAAAGAGGCTATGAATACCACAGACCTCTTTGCGTCTCGGTCTTTTCTACTTCCTGTAGGTCCCAGCATCTTAAACTACTTTCCTTCTCCATAAAATGGAGAAAAGCATCAAAGAGTTGATATTTATAACATACCTGCTTGGGTAACACGGGTTCTGGAATCCCCCACAGTCTCACGTACCATGTCTGAAGTCAGAAGTAAGAATCAGAGAGTCAAGGGAGGGAGATGAAGAGGAAAGGGAAGTTAAGGGGGTCTGCCTGGAGGATAGAAAGACAGAAGGGGAATTCACGGGACTTACCCTGTGGGCGGAGAGGGACCAGGCAAGCAGGGGAATATTTAAGTCAACTGTGAATGTAATCCTTCTCTCCCTCCACCTTCTGACCACATGGAGTTCCTTACCAGGCTGTAAGGATGCCTGTCTGTTCATTCACTCTGTCAGCTTCCAACAGATGGTGTGCCTACTACTCATTGGGCCTTGTGCTAATTATTGCCTGAGATGCACTAGGGAAGCAAACACTCTGTTCCCTGCTTTACAACCAAATCTGAGAGTATGGAGGCTCTCCAGTGTAACACGTGCCGAACTTTGTGGTTATTAAAGTGGGTCAACATTTAATGATATTACAGGGTAGGTGGTGAGCTTTTCATCCCAAGCAGACAGAATTGCCCGAACCAAGAAGATATGGGAAGAGGCTCTGGCCCTGAGTGAGGGCCATTCATCTACTGACATTTGATGTGTGGCCTAAGTCCCCATGGAGACTCAAGGATTGGTTCTAAACCAACATTAAAAAAAAGTTCACCCTACTAAAAGACTGTAACATCTGCTTGTCACAAATTATCTCTCTGTCTGTGACCAAAGACTAGACCAAGTCTTCACATCAGGCCAATCCTGGGCTGTCTTTAAATGATACACTGGGGAAAAATCATTTATGTTAACATTGGTGAGTTCAGCTGAGATCATATTGGAAAGACAAACTTGTATATCGTAGAAACAGAATGAAATGTCTTCATTCCTAAAAACCGTGTTTCCTGTTGACTGATTTAAATATTCAACAAAATACCAAAGGCAAGGTAGTTTGGGGGGGGGCATTAAGGGGTGGAGCCCAAGGTCCAGGGATTGAGTCCTTAGTGCCCAGCCAGTGGTCTGCCCAAGCATAAGAAAAACATTCATCTTACATGATCATATGCTTTATTTTCTCTTTATTGATTTTGACAAGTATAAGAATTATGATTTTGAAGACTAGGGATTCTCAAATGATCACCTGCTTCATTTTACTGATTGATAGTTGAAGCTCAGTGGGGTTAGATGATGTTTATGGCTTGTGAACTGTAGAGTGTTTACTGGACTCGGGCACTCGGGGAAGGCACAGTTGTGGCTTCTTTTTCATAAGATGCTGGTGAACAAACATCTGGAATATGATATCTGGAATAGCTTATAGTCACTCAGAGTTTCATCAACGAGTCAGTGGGACTTTTGTAAGAAGGAGCATTGATCAGGGAGTGCCACATTGTTTTATCTGCAGTGTCCAGATTAGGTCTTTTCATGGCCATCTTAATATCAGATTCAACCTTTGCCCTCTTTCACCTTATGAACGCCAACTCTAAATGCATCAGGTGTGCCCAGCTTCTTTCTATACCAATTTATCAACCAACAAGACATGCAGTTGCTCTTTTTTTTTTTTTGGTTTTTCGAGACAGGGTTTCTCTGTGTAGCTTTGCGCCTTTCCTGGAACTCACTTGGTAGCCCAGGCTGGCTGGCCTCGAACTCACAGAGATCCGCCTGGCTCTGCCTCCCGAGTGCTGGGATTAAAGGCGTGCGCCACCACCACCCGGCTCATGCAGTTGCTCTTTAACTAGTGAAACTCTGTGTGTGAGTGTGCATGCGCACATACACATGCATGTGCAAGAAATTTTACTATTGAAAAAACTCTACACTTAGCATTTTCCCTTTGCATTTTTTTCTCTGAATGATGAGCACACGATTAGTCTTAAGTCTGATGGTCTGAGTTTGATTCTGCAGGACCTATATTCTGAAAGGGGAGAACTGTTGCCTGCAAGCTTGTCTTCTGACCTCCACACGCGTGCTTTGGAACATACACATACACACAGGCATACATATGCACACACTCACACACACTCAATAAGCAAATGTAATTTTTAGAAATGTAAGGGGCTGGAGAGATGGCTCAGAGGTAAAGAGCATGTACTGTTCCTGCAGAAGACCTGAGTTTGATTCCCACATTGGGTGGTTCACTTATCAACTCCTCCTCAAGGGAATCCTCTTCCGGCCTTTATGGACATAGCACACATGTGTATATCTACAAAGGCACACACATACATACACATACATTAAAAACTAAAAAAGAAACAGAAGATGAATGAAAATGCACTGAACCACACCAGGAAACCCTAGATTCTGATGTTGTCATGGTGAAGAAAGGCTGTAGCCTATTTTTCTCTACGGAAAAAACAGACTCAGACCAGAAAGAAGATCTTTTTACTTGTTTGGTTTTTGTTTTTGTTTTTGTTTTTGTTTTTTTGAGACAGGGTCCCAATGTGAAGCCCTGGTTGGCCTAGAACTTGCTTTGTAGATCAAGCTGGCCTTAAATTCATAGAGATCCGTCTGTTTCTGCCTCTGGAGTGCTGGGATTAAAGGCGTGAGCCAGGAGACCAGGGGATCTTTAATGTCCCTGCTAGTACCAGATTGTCATGTCTCTAATACTTGCCTGAGAACTACAAGAATCCTATCTAATTCCAATTCTGATAACACACAGAGCCTAATCTCTTCGAGAGTAGCCAAATACCGGTCTCTCTACTTGGCTGTCAAATGAACATCTCTAACCTAGCATGTCTGAAACAGGATTCCTAGTCCATCCCACTGACCCCCAATTAGCTGTCATTTAGTTTTTCCATCTCACTGGGATAGCTTCATCATCCACCCACATGCTTAAGGCAGACATCTAGGGGCTATTAGAGTTTCCTCTCCTTCCTCAGTACCAACCAGCTATTAGTAAGTCCTCTTGGTTATAACCAACAGTCTTGCTGTTTCCAGCCATCTCACAACCATGACCCTCAACCACGCCCTCACAATCTTCTCTGTGACCACATTTAACAGCTACCTAGTCTCTCAGCTTCCAGTCTTGCCCTTCTGCAAACCACCTTCCACACAACAACAGTGTGGTATTTTAGAAACATCGTTCAGACCTGTGCCTCTCTTGCTCAAAACCTTGCTGGTGGCTTCTGACCACACTTGGGAGCAAATCTGAACTCTTTGTTCTGACTTATGATACTCTAAGGTTCTCACGGACCTCACTGCAGTCACATATTAGATATCCTGCATAACAGATATTTATGTTATGATTCATAGCAGTTAGCAAAATTACAGTTATGAAGTAACAACGAGATAATTTTATGGTTGGGGGTCACCACAACAGGAAGAACTGTATTGAAAGGTCACAGCATTAGGAAGGTTGAGAGCCACTGTCCTAAGTGATCTGACACATCTCTGTCCATATCTTGCTCCTTTGACTCTCAGCCCCAGGGGCTGGGGGTGGAGCTCAGTGGTAGAGCACCTGCCTAGCATGTGAAAGGCCCTAGGTTCAATCCCTGGAACAAGAGAGAGAGAGAGAGAGAGAGAGAGAGAGAGAGAGAGAGAGAGAGAGAGAGAGAGAGAGAGAGAGAGAGAGAGAGAAAGAGAGAAAGAGAGAAGAGAGAAAGAAAGACTCTCAGCCCCTTGGCTCCACTAACTGGCTTCTTTGAACCTACTCGCCCCGTTCCTCTCGTGGACCTGTGTACTGCGTCTCTCTCCTGCTTCAACTGTTTTTTCCCATCATTTCACGCTGGTTCCTCATTTCATTCCGTCACTACCCCAGGAGTCATCTTCCTAAAAGAATCCACTCCTCTCCATCCAACGTAAAGCAGCATCTACTACTCTTTGTTAAGACGCGGAAGTGCAAGATCCATTGGAGCAGAGATCTTACTTTGACCATCCAAACATCCCTAGCACAGACCAGTGCTGGCACGGGAAAGGATGCCACAGAAAGCAATCCAACGCTTGCTGTGTGGATGTTGGCTGAGAGAAGCAGGTCAGCCGTAAGGTTCCCAGTCCCCTTTGTCTACACCATGTGCCTTAGCTCTGTTCTATGTTATCCCATTTCATGTTTCCACGTGTGGATTTGTACAGACTCCCTCAAGGCCCTGGAGGGCAGAGATGGTTTCTTCCAGTTGTTCAGAATGTGTGTATTTGTGTGTGCACGTGCACCTAGCGCAAAGCTGAACATACATACCCACTGTCCGACTGGAATCTAAATTACATCTGTTTATACCACCTACTGTTTAAAGCTGAACCAGAAGGCCTGGGGATGCACGTCAGCGGAGGAGCACTTACTTGCCTAGCATCGGCAAAAGGTTCAGTTCCTCGGCTCGGCAAGGAAACAACAAACTTCTTTCTTTTTCCTGTCATTACAATTTTTTCTTTTACATTTACAGAATCTTTTTTGACAACAACAAAAAGTTTTCACACAGTTGAGAATTGCTCAGAACCAGAGACTAAAAACAATCAGACAGCTACATGAGCATTTCTAAAAGTAAGTTATACATACATGGTCGCATATGTTCCTTTGGTTTTGTTTTGTTTTGTTTTGGAGACAGGGTCTTCCTGTGTAACCCTGGATGGCCTGGAACTTGCTATGCAAGCTAAGGTAGCCTCCTGTCCCTTTCTCCTACACGCTGCTGCTAAAGGTGTGTGCTACCACATCCAACTAACGTATGCTCTTTTTAAAGAGTGTTTTTATCTAAAATAGAATTACATCAGTCCCCATCTTCCCTACCAGTTACCATCCTTTAAAACCTTCCCATGTCCTCCCCACTCTCAAGTTGATAGCCTCTTTTTCTTTGATTATATGTTACATGCATATATGTATATAAATATATAAAAATATATTCAATATTTAATCTATATAAATAGGCTCTGCTGAGTCTGCTTTTTGTTGTTTCTGTGTATATGGTATTAAGGCTGACTATTCTGCACTGGACAACTGATAATGAGGCTCATCCTTGGGAGAAATTCACTCTCCTTCTCCCAGGAGTCAGGGGTTGCCTGTAGTTCTTGGTCTAGGGCTGGGACCCTGTGAGATTTTCCCACTTCTACATTAACATGCCCATTGACATTGCCATTTTCCTGGTCTTGTTTATGCAGCCATTTCTAGGAGATATTGTTGCACAGCAGACTGCCTGGTATTCTGGCTCTTGCAATCTTTCTACCCACTCTTATGGAATGTTCCCTGAGCCAGGGATGCAGGAGCTATGATGTAACTGTATTCGTTGGGCTGGGCTCCCCACAATCCATTGATCTCTGCGTTATGTCCATTTGTGGTTTCCTGTGACGGTCTCCATTTGCTGTGAAGAGAAACTGCCTTGATTAGGGGTGGTAGCTGCACTTATGTATAGTGTAACAATAAGATTTAGGATGTAGCCAGGTGGTGGTGATGCACACCTTTAATCCCAACACTCGGGAGGCAAAGGCAGGGAGATCTCTGTGAGTTCGAGACCAGCCTGGTCTACAGAGCGAGAGCAAATTCCAGGACAGCCAGGACTGTTATATAGGGAAATCTTGTCTGGGAAAACAAAACAAAACAAAACAAAAGATTTAGAATGTAGTAAGAAATTATGCTGGTCTAGCAAGTTGAAGTAGATTCTTTCCTACAGTCCACAATCTCACTAGCCCCGGGAAACTGGCTAGGTTTACAGTACTAGGCATGATTTCCCTCCTGTTGAATGAACAACAAACTTCTTAAAGTTAAATGTGGAGGGGAAAATCAGTTTCCTGAGCTCATAAGGAATTCTGAACCTGCCACATTTCCCCCAGAACGGTTTGTACCTGGCTGACGGAACTACTGTGAGAACCAGGTCTGGCGGTCGGTCCATTCCTTCATTCCTCATCTCACACTTCGAACTGCATCCTCCTTTCTATCTAGAAAATTCAAATTTACATTTCAGAAGGCATCACAGGCCATTTCCCCTCAACACCCATCCCTGAGGCCTAGCAGGGAAACACTGCCTTTTCTTTCCCATTTAGGAGCAGCAGTAACAACAGCAGCAGCCAAGTTCAATCCTAATCACCCCACGACAATCACGGGAAGGAAGACATGCACCGCTACATCTCTGACGGGCTTTTACAATCTAGTTTTATTATTCAGCGCTTACGGAAACGCTATTCCCTGAGGAAGAATATCTCCCATGGTTTCTTCAGCACAAACAGCTTCCTGGAAACAGGAAGCACAAGCCATGAAGCTGTCACTGCAGAGGCACACTAGGAAAGGGAGGGCCAGAAGCCCTTTATTGTCACTGAGGAGGGAAAGGACGAGGGTGGGGAGTGACTTTTGGAATGTGAGGAGAGTGGACGTGGGAGAAGGGACGGTAGGTGGGCACACCTTCCTCAGCACACGAGCCATGGAACAATGGTGCTAAGCCATCAGTGAGACGTGAGTCTGGACTTTCTTGGTGACACATCCTAATACGATGGCCTGGTGGTCATTTTCAGAGCAGTGTTGGGGCACAACCATCTAAGCAAATTCCACCACATGTTGTACCCCATCTGACCTCGGGGTTGGGGAGATGGCTGGGTGCCCAGGCACTTGCATGACAACCAGAGGTGGGGCCCCCAGAACTAACTAAATGCTGTAAATGCCCTCAGAAGGCAGAGACAGGTTCCATAGAGCAAAGACTAGCTTTGGGTTTGATTTAGAGACCCTGTCTCAATGAACAAGGTAGAAAAAAGGATGAAAGGTGATTCTTGACATCAATCAAGCTTGGGCCTCCACATGTACACGCACATACATGTGTCTCCACACATGCAAACACACATACATGCATACACATACATGAAAATGGAAAAAGAAAAATATGTGTATAAAGCGTATCACAGGGTTTTTCATTCATAACTATCAAGAAGTGGGGAACCTCTGTTTTGTAATTTCTCTTGTCGATAGCAGGGTACTTGCTCTTGGAATTCTCTTCTAGAAATTATAGTAATAGACTCTAAGGGTTGGGGAGATGGCTCGTCAGTAAAATGCCGGCCGTGCAAGCATGAGAACCTGAGTTCAGATTGCCAGTACCCAGGTAACAAAAAGCTGGGTGGAGTAGCCCAAGGCTGTAACCGGCACTAGGGGTGTAGACACAAGTGGATCCTCGGAGTTCATTAGCCAGCTAGCATAGAAGAATCCAAGACCTCCAGGTTCAGTGAGAGAGCCTGTCTCAAAAAATAAGGTGGTAAGTGATTGAGGAAGACACTCACCATCAACCTCTGACCTCCACAGGCACACCGCCCCCCACACGTGTACATACACCATATGCACATGTACACACAAACACAAACATACATGCTCACCAATAAAAATGAACCGCCAGACACTGTCTGGAGTCATAGCTTATGTCAGTGGGCTGGACCAGATGGGTGGTCCTGAAGGTTTTAATATCCACTTAATTCCCATAAAAAGGCAACGTGCTAACAGTACTTTAATCCCATTTCCTCCCTCTGCTTAGCAGATATTATTTTGAGGTATACAGAGGACTCAGATCTCCTGTTTAGACACCAGGGGACAGGATGTGTAAGTGGAAGGAGGAGGCCATTTGCAGGACCGGAAGAGAGAGGAGCTAGGGTTGCCTTTCCCGCCTTCCATTTTGGCCTGTGATAGGATGTCACTTACTCTAGGAAGATCACAGGGGTTGCTTCTCCAGTTTGTCTGCAGACCTCAGCTCTGTGCCTGAGGTCGTCAAAACCGGTCCTGCCTGAAAGTCGCAGTGAGATCTTTGCCCCACACATCTGACAGCTGGATTCCTAGGGTTACTGGGTGAAGGTTTTCTCCTCAGTTCTCAAAAGAATTCAGCCAAAGACAAGGAAGGACCTTAGGTGAAAATGGGTGTGGGGGGGCACTCTTCCCAACTCCGCCCTGCTCCTTAAACCACGGGCTCTCTGAACAATGGGATGCAGAAGAATTCAAAAATAGCAGACAGCCTTTCTTTGGGACCTCTGTTCCAACTCTCTTAAATCCATCCTTCTTTCTTTTCAGAGCACAGGCATTTGCTCCTGGGCCTATGTTCATGGTTGCTAACATGAGTATAATTGAAAGGATTAGTGATATCTTCGCCTCTTTGTTTTGTTAAAAAAAAAAAAAAAGATTTTATTTCCAAGTTTAACTGGCTGGGAGAATATGAAAAGCCTGCATTCCAGGTTTTTATCAATGAAGGTTCATGTTTTCTCAATCTTTGAAGGAATCTTTGAAGGAAGAGCTCTTTGCTCTTTGAAATAAGATGATCCCTTTCACATTGAAAGTTTCTCATTGTGAAGTTCAGTGTCAAGGGAAAAGTCAATGGGTGCATTATAAGTGCTCACCACAATGGGACAGGATTTCTACATGACAGAGAGAGGAGGCTGAATGAAGCTGAGCTGACGCCTGAGCCGTTTCTTCTCTATAAATCACGGAGCTAAGGACAGTTCCTCTGTAACTGTGGAGGTCTTTCCGCTCTGCTCGGTGTTATCGTTATTGCTGTTTCTTTCTTTGGCAAAATCTCTCCTGCACTGCTTCTTTAGTACCACAGAGAAGGCCAGAAATACCTATAAAGAGCATGCCCACTTCACCCATTTCAGGAAGGTATGTAAAATGAAATTTGCTCTTGTCTCGGATTGATTCATTTAGCGTCAGTGGTCAAGGTAAGTTAGTTCAAGCTCATTTTGTGGTGCCCCATGCTGTCTGGGCTGTTCCGAAGGAGTGGGGGAATCATGTAGACCCAAGGCTACTGCTAAAATAACATTGGTTGGTGGATGTAACTGGTATCCAAGATGGAGCTGATGGAACACAACTCTTGCACCTGCCAAGAGAGGCTGAGCGTGACTGGTCTAAGCCAAGAGAGCATTTTTTTACATCATGGTAAGTGGCTCATGCAAATCTTTATGAGAGACGGGGAAGTGCCTCCAAGGTGGTGTGCTCTGATCAAGGTTTGGAGCCCTGCTGGAGAGAGGGAGGGTTATGGTTATGGTCCTGCTGTGAACACCAACAGTGCCTCCATCAAACTGCTGACACACTTCAGGCTACTCAATTGAGCATCGTATCAGTGCCTTTGCTTGTAACCACACCAAATATCCGATGAATCAACTTAAGGAAGGAAAAGGTTAGGTTGACTCCACAATGGCAGAGGAGGCATGGCAGCCGATCCAGCTCCGGTCCCTGGCTGTAGAAGGCTGCTGGGAGGACCAGGAAGGAGAGGGAGAGGAATGATTGCTCTCTGTTGGCTTTGTTCTTTCCTCCTTTTTGATTCAGGCTGGGACAACAGCCCATGAGATAGTGTCACATTCAAGGTAGGCCTTCCCCAATCAGTTAACCCTCTCTGGAAATGCCCTCATAGACACACCCCAAGGGATGCTTACTAATGCGCTAGGTGTTTCTTCACACTTGAACATAGCCAAAAGACTGAGAACTGATGAGTCTCTTATCCAATGAGTTGATAATAAAAATTAACCATCCAGGCCAAGCATAAAGTTACATGACTATAATCCTAGCACTTGGAAGTAGAGGAAGGAAGATCAGAAGTTCAAGGCTATCCTTGGCCAATAGGGACTTTGAGGCCAGCCTGGGCTATATGAGATGGTTGGAAATAACCATCACAAGTACTGTCCCACCCCTTCACATCACTAGCTCCTGGGGGCACCTGGATTCTGCATTTTCCCCCAACATCAAGAGAAGTGAGAAGATGGCCTGTATCATTTCACTTTTTAGTAGGATTTGCCTCCTGACATTGGGGATTCTCCAAGCACAGGAAGAGGGCCCCCCTCAAAAGTAACAGATGACATTCTCATTATGGAGGAAAGGGGTTCAGCACAGTACCCTGTGGGCCATAGGTACCAACCTTTGCTCACGGATGCTCTGCTGACATACCATGAGGTGTTCCCAGGGATTCAGATCGACTGGAGTGCTGAGCAACTTTTAACCCAGTGTTCACTTTCTCGAGCTCTGGTTCTTCTACTGAACCCACTGTAAGGTGGCCATATTATATTCACACTCTCTGATGTGACAGGTGATGAGGTTCTTTACCACCTTACCACCCACTAGATGCAGAGCTCTTTCTGACCCCCATGACATCATAATTTGCATGATCTAAAAGAAGTGAGGAAATAATGTATTTAAATCCTGTGGTCTCCATGAAGTTAGCGAAAAGGCACCCCCAGCATTTTACTGCAAACATCGCAAACCCTGTACTCAGAGAGTGGCAAGCGCTATAATCTACAGGGCTGTTTGACAGGATGGCTCTTTCCAGTTGCTTCTCGCCAGAGAGGAAGGCTTGGAGCTGCGTGGCTAGAAAACCATCCATTTTCTGTGGAATAAGGAAAGCACTGGGGGCCTAAATAGTAAGGTTATCAAATATCTTACATACAAACAGCCACCTTAAAAGGACTACCACACAAGCAATGGTTTTCTCCCGATGGTAATGTTTGCTGTTTTAACGTACAATATGGCACTTTGCAGACACAGGAAACTCAATGAATTTTCCTTGGTGGTGATAACAGCTGGAGCTAACAGAAATTGTCTCTTATTTTGGTAACAAAAGGCCTGGCATTTATTATTTTCGTGGAAGCCATAGAGGAATTTTAAAATAGTACACTAAAATTGTGGGTGAAGTGTTAGTCTTCCTGGGTATCATTACCAATTTTGATGCGCTCAAAATAAGATTATTACTATCCACTAAAACACAGTCCCTGCATTCCACTCACCCAACTTTCTGTAATGTCAATGGCTCAAATGTCATAAATTAGTCTAAAGTAAGGATTAATGGTTGGTAAAAAAAACTGTTAACTGAACTGCAGACTTCATTTAGATTTCCTACCATTTCATCTCAGCGAGAGATGCCAACACCAATTTGAACTACAGGGTCTCTAACACTTTGGTAGCAAAACTACATTAATTCAGACTGACTGGGATTAGATACAAGATGGCTTGGGAAGGCCACAGAATCTAGCCTTTTCTATGCCACATGCTTAGGATGTTATGCTCTGATTTCATCCTTCCCAGAAATCAAGGGGTGGGGGAGGCACTGGACATATTCCTGTCGGTTTTATAGATGATACAGTCAGCCCTAGGATGCCAAGCAATGTTTGCAAGACAGCTCTCTGGGGGGCTAGGTCTGGTCTAAGGTCTCTCCCTGCCTTTCAAGGTCTCTCCATCCCGACCTCACCCCTCTCTGTATGCATGTGCATACATGTGCATGTGGAGGTAAGAGGTCAACCTCAGGCTTCTTTGCTCAGCACTGCCCACCTTATTGGGCTAAGGCCTTTCTTATTCCAAGGTGCTTGACCATGGTTACAGTGGTATAGACTGGAGACATTCATTCCGGGTGTGACACATTGAGCCACATCTGCCCAGATGCCTACTTCCAAAGGTCATGTGGGTCAGCTATAGCAGGTAACCTCAACTAGGTGGATGATTGTCCTAAACCAATAATGAATATGGGGTTTTCTAGGGTATGTAGACTGGGTTTCAACTATGCAAGAAACACAGAAGCTCCACCCTTCCACCTGGGTTAGGGTGGGGCTAGATGAGGGAGGGGCTGGATGAGGGTGGGGCTTGGTGAGGGAGAGGCTAGGCGAGGGTGGGGCCAGCCTGTTCTCCAGTCTAAGCATGGAGAAGCATGTTGCAAACATCCCCACTGTCTTTGGCTTTCCTTTCCTGAGTGTTTTAAGGCTTAATTAATGCGTGTAAAGTGATCTGAAACATGGGAAGGAAAAGAGCCAGGGACCCGCAGAGTGCCAATGATTACCTGAGGCCAGACAGCTGTAAAAGGGAGCTGGAGGGGGGCCTGGAGAGGCTGGGAGAGGGCTCTGCTTAGCCGCCAGCTGGCTGGCCCCATGCCAGCTTGGACTGTTTTTGGCAGGGTTCGGCCCCATGCCTTCCTCTCAAGGCTGACAAGGCAGCCACACTCAGGAGAAACAATTCTTTCGGGACCTGAACTGGAGCAGAAGAACCAGTGAAGACACAAAGTATGGCCATTTGCACGAGCCGACCCTACAGAGGAGGAGACGAGACAACACTAATCCACCTCTCTTGTCAAGGCAAGGCAACCGCCGATGCCTGCATTTCGGGGGCCCTGACGGGATGCACATAGACACATCAAAGAGATGAATGAGTCACAGCTTTCCTCTTGACAGGAGGCACAGTGACAGTCCCATCACCCGTGGGAGGCCAGGAATCTCTTTAAAATGCTGGGTGGAAATAATGCAGTCCAGGGCCCACGCTGTTGCCCCAGCTCCTTGGTGTTAGTAACAGGGTAAGGCTATCAGTTTCATGGAGGATGTTAAGGCTTGTGACTCCACAGGGCGATGTCAGGCGGCACCTCATTGCAACTCAAAGCATGCAGAGAAGCAAGTGGCAACTCTTCCTCCCACTCTATCCTGATTCCTACCCATAGCTACAAAGTCTGAGAGTATCCAGCACCGAGCCCCTGCACATACCTGTGTACACAGATGGTGGTTAGATATACAGAGGAACCCAAACTGTTATGATGACGGAGTCGGCAAAAAGGGTTGTTTGTGTAATCCAAAGTTTATGCTGGGTCTTCATCATGTCTCGGCGTCCTACATGGGCTAACGGTTGGGTTGTTATCCACCTCCAGAACCCACAATCTGAGGATGTGGCTGCTGGCAGCACCCTATGGTTTAGTAGTTGGGGTAGAAGGAGACTTGCTTTTCTGGCTCATGAAAGAATTTCAGAAGGCTCTGATGGCCTCGAAATGGGACTCACTCCAAGATCAGGTCTGTAGCTATACCATAAAATGCCTACTAAGTGGATTGAGACATCCCCCCAAAACGGGCCTTTCTATTGCTTCTCTGACTGAGCAGTTAAATGGCCAAGAGACACTGTCATGCCCAGCCTCCACCACAGCAATTCAGGCTGTTGTTTCCTATACTCCTCACCCCCGACTGGCTCCTACTGTCTGATGTCTGTGGTGGGTGCAAGATCACCTATTGCTAATGGGTCATGAGAGGGTCTTCTGAAGCTACCAATAGTAAATTCCTTCATATCCACATCTAAACGAGCATAATGGTAATCTCCAGTCAGTCACCCCACTTTCTGACATCTAAATAATGACAGATCTAAGTCATCCTCCACTGGGTCCAAGGAAAATCTCCACAAAGCTCAGCACCCTTCATGTCCTAGGACTATGCTGTTAGCTCTGCTGGCTCTGCAGCTTGCTGGTGCAAGGCTTAGGATAGATCAGCCTCCAAAGTTGCAAAACCACATTTTGTTTTGTTTTATGACAGAGCCTCACTATGTAGATGTGGCTGTCCTTGAGCTCACAGAGACCCACCTGCCTCAGCCTTCCAGTGCTAGGATTAAAGGCATATGTCACCACACCTGTCTGGCATAGCTAAATTCTTAGAATAAATCTCAACCAACCTCCCTTCCCTCCCTCCTTCCCCTTCTCTCTTCTTCCATTGTCCTGACCAGCGGGATCTTCAGCAGAGACCCTAGAAGGGGGAATGGCGAATGAAGGGACAAGAGACACAAAGAATTGACAGCAAGACAGTATTCTGATCAAGCTGCAAAATTTTATTTTTCTCAGGTGGGTTTTATAGTAAGCAGACCAGGAAACTTTCTTTGGGAAAAGATCAGGGGACTGTTGAGTTGCCAAGCAACCCAACCAAGCAACCTAACCACAAAACATTGTTACTAATGGTCACTGTAGCAGAAAGATAAGGAAATGTTAAGTTATTTTCTAATAACTCAGGACTTGTTCAGACATGTCAAAAGTTTCTGGTTAGTGGCTCAATACTGGACAACAGAAAATTAACTCAGGCAGGCAATATGGCATGGCTCTTAAAATTGTCCTCGGCATTCCATCCTATATGTTATGGAATAATCTTTTTGTACACTATGAAGATATGTCTTTGCCAAGGTGCCTTCTCATTGGTTTAATAAAAGAGCTGACCAGCCAATAGCTAGGCAGGAAGAAGTAGGCAGGGACAGCCAAAATGAAAGGATGCTGGGAAGAAGGGAGGAGTAACACAGAGTCGCCAGTCAGACACAGAGGAAGCAGGAGATGAACACGCCCTGCTGAAAAAAGGGACCATCATGCTATAGAGTGTGGATAAGAAATATGGGTTAATTTAAGATGTAAGAGCTAGTTAGTAACAAGCCTAAGCTATCAGCCAAGCATGTATAATGAATAAGAAGTCTCTGTGTGGTTATTTGGGAGTTGGCTGGTGGGACCAAGCTGACTGTTGGTCCCAAAAGAAAATTCCGCCTACACCTACCTATAGGTTCTGTTCCTCTGGAGAACCCTGAACTAGTGCAAATGCCTTCTTATTTCTTAACTTTATTCATTGATTTAATTTTTTTTTTTGACACAGGATCTCTGGTTATGTAGCCTAGGATGACCTTGAATTTTTGATCTTTAAGATCATAGATGTGAGCCGGGCGGTGGTGGCGCACGCCTTTAATCCCAGCACTCGAGAGGCAGAGCCAGGCGGATCTCTGTGAGTTCGAGGCCAGCCTGGGCTACCAAGTGAGTTCCAGGAGAGGCACAAAGCTACACAGAGAAACCCTGTCTCAAAAAACCAAAAAAAAAAAAAAAAAAAAAAAAAAGATCATAGATGTGTGCTACCACACCCAATTTATGTAATGTTGGGAATCTAATTTGGGGTCTGCTGTATGCTAGGCCAGCAAACTACCTACTAAAGTACACCCCCCAGTCCCTCATTCATTTGTTTGAAAAAAATGAACACTTACTATAGATCAGACACTTTTTTTGTTTTGTTTGTTTTTGTTTCAAGACAGGGTCTCTGTAGCCCAGGCTGGCCTCAAACTCTCATCGATTCTGCTGCCTTGACCTTCCATGTGCTAGGATTAAAGGCATTAGCCACCAGAACCAGCTCAGACACTTTTATGTTCTTAACAATTCTCAGTGGGGGGGGGCGGGAAGCAAAGATTCCTGGCACCATGGAACTTCTACTGCTGTGCATAGAAGAGACAGTGGATTATAAAGATCGTAGATCAAAGGTGTTAGAAAGTGATCAGGGCAAAGAGAGAGTGGAAACAGAGTAGGATTCGGAGAAGCAAGAGACACTGGGGAAAGGACACTGGGCAGGGGCTTACGGGACATAAAGGGGTTGGTCGTGTAGAAACCGAAATCACCTTCAGTGCTCTAGGGACCCAGGCCTAGGATTTACAGCAATTCCTCATGCGACAATGTCTCTCTTAGGTCGGCCTCTGACCCTCCACGGCTTGGCCATGCTTGAATGTCCCCTCCAGTGAACTTTCCACTCTCCACTCTTCTATGCATCATGACAAAGTCACTCAGGGATTAATTCCAGCAGAAAGCTAACCACATCTCTGGGCCGAACCGTTCACAGGAAGGGTCAGTGTTTGCACTCAGGGCCTGAGGTCACCGGAGAAGATTCAGTGAGGCATCGCCCACCAATGATGCCATCAGCCAAGAGGGGGGTGATGACATTGTCTGGCCCATCCCTTCCTGTCATTCTCCACTTTCACTTTTGTCTCCTTTCTTGGCCATACCCAGCCAGCAGCCGGCTGATCCAGGATTCTGTGACAATCTACATGGGCAAAAGCAGCTTCAGCAACTCAGAGAAGAATACATCTGAGGATGGCCCAGAAGACAACCGTGCCCAAGACGGAGACAGCTGGCGCTCACACAGGGCACGAAGGACATGATGGAGCTGCAGTGGTGTAACCACTGGAGTGGTTTGCTTTAAGGACATCCGTGCCGTTTGGGCTTTTGTCAATTTGACACAAGCCAGAGTCACCCAGGAAGAGGGACCCTCAACTGAAGAACTGCCACCATTAGAATGGTCTGTGGGCATATCTGTGGGGCATTTTTTAAAACAGCTGATTGATGTGGGAGGGCCCACAATGCCCACTGTGGGCAACGCCATCCCTGAGCATAGAGGTCTGGCAATAAATATATATAATATAATATAAAATATACATAATATATAATGTTCCATATATATATATATATATGGAACTGAGAGAGCCAGAGGAAAAGCAAGCCAGTAAGTCGTGTCCCCCTGTGGACTCAGCTTCAGTTCCTGCCTCCAGGTTCCTGCCTGACTTCTCTCAGTGATTGATGAGGACCTGGGAATGGTAAGATGAAATGAAAAACTCTTCCGCAAGCTGTTTCTGGCCAGTGTTTTATCACAGCAATGGAGAGGCAAACCAGAACAAGATTATTTTCATTCCCACAGTCTAGAAAGCTTGGTGCAGTCACAACTGGATGAATGAATGAATCTGAGAATGAATGAATGAATGAATGGCCATTTCTTTATCACTGACACCCCTCCTGGTACGCTTCAGCCTTGTGCTTTGCTTAGTAACGGGGCTGCTTTGTGGCATCGCACCATTCCCTGCCTGTGCTAAGGTGACTTGGATCCAAGTGTTCACACCGTCTTAAGGCCACACGGATGGTATAACTGTAGTCATTAGAGTATTTCCACAAAGGGAGCAAATAAACCCGTCAAATGGAATTTTACACAAATCCTTCCAAGCAGTTCACCAGGAAGGTACAATACCTTCCCATGCCTCTGCCCTGACTAGCCCCTTCCTCGAAAATGTATTTACTCTTTGATATTTCTGTATATTAGGCCTGATGTCTCTTAGCCCTTCACCTGGCTAGCAACAGGTTGGGACCCATCATGAGATGTGACAGAGAGGAGGAGGGAGTGGAAGGCACGACAGCGCTGGCTGCTGACTGCCTCACAGGTGCAGGAGAGCTGAGAAGTGACTCCCCGAGGGCCCATTGGACTCCAGGTGCCATTAGGTCTGCCTGGGGACATCCTGAATCACACTGATGATTCACCTTATATCTAAGATACTTGACTTCTTGGGGTTTACCAAGCCTTTCAGAGGGGACACTAGAAAGTGATCCATTTCCACTGAAGACATGTGCACCCTGTGTGTAAAGTAGAGTCAGTTCTGTCCCAGACACAGAGCAAAACAGTGAGCATGGGTGACGGTGGCACTACACAGCCCGGAGCTGGAAGCCCCAGGAGGGAAATCTGGACAGCACAGGTCCTGCCGGCAAAATTTCTCAGCAGAGACTAAACTATTTTCAAGCATCTTCATGTGGCCATCCTATGGACGGGGGCTTTACCACAGGTAAGAAAGGAGGAGGCCAGAGACCTTCCTGCATTCCCAAAGTACTTTGCAGAGAAGTAGTTGATAGAGGCGGATGGTATGCTCAGAAGAATAGGACTCGCTGTAAGTATGTGAGACCTGAGGCTCCCATTCCAGCTGCTCTGCTCAGCAGCTGGTGGCTTTGGACCAGCCCTTTCCTGACCTTCCACTGTCTTTCTTTGGAAGCTGGGAATTATGTGCTTTCTGTTGGAGGTACGGCAAAGGTCACAGAAGTACTTGGAAGATGGACGGACGTACCATGTTACAACGGTAGGCATGAGAAAAGGTGCCTGTGGTGTTCAGTTAATGAGGTTTTAAAATCTTCCATTACATTTAGCTAGCCACCACTGGAAAGGTGAGGGCAACAATCGTTTTTCAAAGGGATATTTTTCTGCTCTGAAAATAGAAGTCAGAAGGCACGGTTTTAATTTTCTTCTTGGTGTAAAACTCCGTCACCCTTGCTATTAGCAGTCTGGACAGAATCATGACCTTCTAACTGGGTGGTATCGACCAAGACTGAAGGAATACGTTCAGTTGCCAAACCTTTCAAACAGGTTTTCCCAACTAAGGCACTGTTATCGTGAATTAGGAGCTAATGGGATTGTTTTCAAGGAGCACCTGCAAGATTTAAGTTACCTTCCAGGTGTGCCACAGTAAACGCAGAACCAAAAGGTCACCAGAGAGCCCAAGGGTGGAAGTGGGGGTGGGGTGGGGGCGGGGCTGGGAACCGGGGTATGGTGGACTCACGCAAGGAAACAGCTTTCTCCTGTTGAGAAAGAAACCTAGAATTTTTACAGTCCCCCTGACGGCACATGAGCTGATCTGTGAATCAATCTAGAATCATAATTTACTTTTGGTTTATGGGATTTGTGAATTTTCGCATTTGTTTTAATTTGTAATTAAGTTTTCTCTACGAGGCACACCATATGCCACCATTAATTCTCTCTTGTTGATTTCTTAGGAGATACATGAGTGCATATTTTGATGTAATTTTGGAGGTCTTTTGAAAATCAGATGACTACGTGGTGAGCCATATGGGGCTTTGTTATTTAAAACAGAAATTATAAAGCTAGAGAAGGCAAAATGCAAAAAAAAAAAATGTTAACGGGGAAAAGGTTGGGGAAAACTGGTTTCAAGCACACGAACTGTCCACTTTTCCCCTACATTCTGAAATCTCCGAGGATCCCGCGATGTCTCTTACCTTCTGTGAGCGCACTCTATACCACAGGTGCACGGAGCAAACCTCCCCGACCACGCTTGTGTTTTCCGCTCGGGCTGCAGATTCTAGCATCTGCCTTCTGGGAGCTCGGCTGAAGCCAGCGTCTTTCTTTGCACACCCAGGCTTTGGCACTGAGCTCCGCTCTCTCCGCACCCACGGCGGCTCGGCTTTCCCGCCCGTGCTTTCCCGGGGCTCCCCCCCCCAGGCCCCCCCCCCCCCCCCCCCCCCCCCCCCCCCCGCCTCCCCGGCCGGCTGCCCCACAGTACGTGCAGGCTGCAGAGCGGGCTGAGGCCCGGACGGCGAGCGCTAGGACCCAGCAGGACTCCGGGCCCGGGTGGGAGCCGAGCCGCCGACCCCGGGCGGGCGCCGGGCGCTGGAGCCGGGTGTTCCGGCCGCGGTCGGTGCAGCTCGGCTGGGAGACGGCGCGACCCGGCGGCGGGGCCCCCCGCGAGTCCAGCGCCGCCGCAGCCCCCCAATGCGGCCGCGAGAAGCAGCGGGGGGGCAGGCGATCGAAGGTAACGAAAATGCGGCTCGCTGGCTGCCTAGCGAGCTTCTCTGCCCGGGTTAGCATTGTCACCCCGAGCCTCGCTGCCCAGGCTGCCCGCATTTGGGGGGCACCCTTGGCTTTTTATCTTAAGGTGTTCGCCCCCATCTGTGCACCTAGTTTCGGATTGATTTATAGCATGCATCTCAGAAGGGGAAAGATCCGGGGATGGCGAGTTGCTTATTTTCATTAGTTTTTGTCTCAAAAGTAAGTTCATTAAAAAAAAAAAAAAGAAAGAAAGAAAGAAAAAGAAAGAGAGAAAAGTTTTTTCCTCCTGGAATTTGTAGATTGCTGGTTTTACATTTTTATTTTTAAAAATCGCAGACAATGGATATTTATAAAAATTACCGAATAATTGATGTAATTCTGTTAATGACTTCGGAGGAAGGCGGCTTTGGAGGGGTCCCCAGGCATGACTTGTATTTTCAAGGAACTAACGTGGTAAATGTGGAGTTTGGGGCAGAGTTACAGCATCGCTGTCGTAACTGTTTTGCTATCAATTATAAGCAGAGTGTCGGATCTATGGGCAATTTAAACCTCTTTTTCCAATACCGGAGCTGCATATCCCGGTGTGACATGGACAAACCGGAGTATCCGGTGAAGGAAGCAGGAATGTTTCTGGTTTTGGAGAAAAACGTTGCTTTGAGGAGAAAAACCCAGATTCCTAGCCGGGGAGACTATTTTTCATGCTTTGTTTATAGTCTGGGAATGACATTTGGGGAAGGGGAGCGCGGTCTTTCTTGGGAGCTTTTAATCGTGGGGGTTATTAATTTATTTAATTTATTAGTTTCAATTGGTTGGGCTCCGGGAGCCTTCCGTCACCAGGTTGTGCTAACGTCGGGACACATGATTGCGAAGACGAAACTGCTAGCTGGGAAAGGACTGGACCCGGCTGGTGGAAGCTCCCCCGTGGCGCTGTCGTAGGCTGGGTGCTACTGGCTCATTGAGGAAAAGGGGAATGGCTTTCCGAGCTGAGGAAGACATCAGTATTTCCCTTTTGTTCCCTGTTTTTTCATTGATCGCCAGCTCTGCCTTAGCCAGGGGGAGCAGCTCTGAGGGTACAGAGCCCTGAAGACGGCACGGATGTCTGGAGCCCGCTCTAACTCTCACACTGATTGGTCAGTTAGAGGGAGACTTATGAAAACAGTCACCCGAAACCTTCTTTTAAGACCTTGCCTTAATTTCTGATCTGCGGTCTCGTGCATGGGTTTCCGCAAGGTTGCTTTTTTTTGATCTGGGTGCATCTGGCTCGATCTGGGTGTCTTTATGTTTAATTTTTTGTTGTTGTTTCTATCCAGATAAAGTAGGCCATTTTGGTGACAAATTTCTTTGCAGATGTCAGCTTCTCGCTCGCACTAATAGATGTGGGACTTCACAATACAGTCTCAATGATTTCTGTTCTTAAGTTGTAGAATGCAAAGTTGTTCAACTTGGTATTAATTTTTCCTAAATTTTTTTCATCTGAGCATTTAAATAGCAACACCAGCAGATGGATGCTTAACTGTATTATTACTCTGATAATTTAAGTGCTTTGCAAATTAGCATGTTTCTCGAGCTAAATCTGTCTTTAGACAGTGAAAGAGAAAACAGACAATGAGGAGCAGGCAATCGTGATCAGCTTGCACACTATTGCAAGAAATCGTGGTGTCTGCTTTGAGCAGAATACATTCACATCCAAGAAAATGGGTGGTTGTTTTTGTTTTTGTTTTTTCCACGGAAGACTGAATTAGTGAGCACAATGAAATGGGATCACTCTAAGACAGAGCTTGACCCCTGTGGACATCTTCATTTGAGCCTTAAAGTGGCTCATTAAAGAAGCTGGGTTCCAGAAGTTGTTAACTGTATAAACACTTTTCTGATTGGTTTAAAAATTTAGACACAGGAAGTAGATGGTGTCTAGTAACCCAGGAATGGAGACATGGTTGTCATAGAAACTGAGAAGTGTCACCCTCCCCTCACCCCCACCGCCATGCATTTACTACCATGACCACACTTAAAAAACAAAGACCCCTGCATATCACCACAGATGCTCGGAGAACATGCTGGCTTCTGTGAGCCTTCCCACAACATCTGTTGAAACCTGAGACCATGCCTGTCAAACCAAGGTCATTTTACAACATCAACCAAATTGCTCTCAGGTCCTGGATTTCATAACTGTATTTTTATTGAAAATAGTTCAGGGGAAAGCCTGAAAGCCAGGATGTGCATTCATGCTTACTTAGCATTTTGCAACCTCTGAGTTGCGCAAGGGGAAGGCTGGAAAGGATACATTTGAGCCATTAATTGTGGAATTGTGTGTTTACTCTCAGATGTGTGTATCTGCTGTCAGAACAAGTCTTCTTAGAGACTTAGAGACCAGAATGCTGCGTATGGAGGAAGAATCGTCTGGGGGAAAGTATAATGAAGCCTTTTCCTGCTTGCAGGCGGGTTCCAGGTTGAGCTGAGGCATTTGATCTGAAGGTCTGTGGTATTTTGGACAGGTTCTCTCTGGCTGCCTGAGCAGAAACACGCAGACCGCCTGGTGCTCTGGGGAGCAAAGGGCGGGGTGTTCTTGGTAGCTGAGCAGGGAGAGGAAGAACTCCTAAGTGGAATGGGGACTGTTTCCAGCCTGCAAATATGACTGCCCAGTTGACTTGGAAACATTTCCTCTCCTGTGAATGGAGAATGGGGCTTTCATTTTGAGGCTCTTTTAGCTGCACCCCCACCCCAAGTCACTGGCACCTACATCAGCTGTACCTTCCTTACTCATGGAGAGGAATACCAAGGAGAAAAGTTTAACCCCCTCCCCCCTCCCCACCTCCTACCCCCCCACTCCCGTTTCATTTAGTTGCTAAGTGGAAAATAGCCAAGCATGCTTCTCCTAAATTTTGACTCTGAAGCTCTTCAGTAAAACTTGTCAGTATAAAAAAATTAACACATTTGCTAGACTTGGACCCATCTTGTCAATGGCAATCTTTAAATTGTAAGGTTTTTAAAAAAGATTTATTTTTATTATTATTAATTATGTGTAGGTGTATGTATCGTCTGCATGTAGGTATGGGCACTCATGTGCCCATGCCCAGCGAGACCAGAGGGATCCTCTGGCGGTGGAGTTACAGACTGTTGTGAGCCACCTGACCTGGGTGCTGGGGATGGAACTCAGGTCCCCTGGAAGAGACCTCTTAACTACTGAGCCATCTCTCCAGACTCCTACATTTTTTTAAAAATACTTTATTTATTCTTATTTTATTACATTTGGTGTTTTGCCTGCATGTATGTTTGTGTGAGGGAGTCAGATCTTGGAGTTATAGACTGTTGTGGGCTGCCATGTTGGTACTGGGAATTGAACCCAGGTCCTCTGGAAGAACATTCAGTGCTCTTAACTACTGAGCCATCTCTCCAGCCCCAGCCCCCTAAATTTTAAGTTCTTTGTATTTGTTTAGAAGTAACTTCCCTCTGTACATGGTATATCTAGCACTACACTGGCTTTTCTTAAAACAGTTTTAAAACTTACTTAAATTACAGTTTGGGCCTTCTAAAAGGACATCAGATCTCCCTTGTTTTCCCTCAACTGGTTGCCTTGAGGAGGGGGGAGAAAACAGAGGCGCTCCTAAATATGTTTTAGTGTTTATTTAATATCCTGCATCGATGGTGTAGCAAACAGCTTAGAGCCATGTAGTGTCTCTCATTTGATTTGGGGTGTATTTCATGATCCCACATTATCAAATATTTAGTGTTCCAGGATAGCAAGTTTAGTTGAATGGCACAACTGGTCTCTCTCAGCAAAGGATTTCCTGTTGAGAACTTTCTTATCTGCAAGTACGGCAAACAGCCATTGGCAGGAAACTTGGCAGGTACTTGTTTTTACAAACTGAAGGAAATGAATTGAGACTTGTTGGTTTCTAGAATTTACCTCCATTCTCCACGGCCTGCCCCGAAGTTTGCTCAGAACAGCTCAAAGTGACTTTGGAGCTGTTGGATGAATTTGCTTCATATTGTTGGCGCGTCTGTGGATTTTCTGTTTTGACTTTAGAATTAGAAAAATTAATCCTTACACTGTCATGTAAAGCTTATTTCACCAATACAAATTAACAAGATGTTCAATAAAGTCCTAATTCATTTTCAGTTGACAGAAAGTCGCTCACATGACCACTGAAGCTGGCATTTTTTTGATGGCTGTGCCAAATTTTTAACAGTGGTTCCAGAATACCAACCAAATGCCAGTCTTAATTTTGGATTAGTGCAGAGAGGTAAAGGAGAGGGGGTGCGGGGGAGAGCAAGCCATACTTTCCTTCTTATGAGGGGAAATGGTTCATGAAGAACACATGACAGGTGTATGCCAGCCTCACTGACAGCAGAGAGCCCAAGTGAGGGGTGGGTTTGTGAAGGGCACTTGAGAGAGAAACACATCGTAGCTTTGAAAGCATTAACTATGTGAAAGGGTTATTTATTTCATTTTTTGACATTGTATATGCATGTGTTTAATTGCTTTGGGCCTGTGTTTAATTGCTTCAATTTATGGATATTCCAAATTCTGGAAAGGTGGGGGGAAGGACAAGCCTCTTTATAGGCTGTAAGTACATAGACCTACCCCCCCCCCCATAAGAGAACTACTTATTGGAATGGGCCACACACATTTTTGTAGACCATTTCTGTTTTATATTTAGTGC